AAAAACAACTGGATGGACAGGGGACCTGTATCTCAACTATTGCTGTAGACATAAGAACGGCGGAGCGAACCAATGGAAAACACAGCAGAAAAAACATGGAGATAGCATCAAACATGTTAAAAACCAATTGCGTGTTGGGCGAGATGTGGGCAGAATTGAGCCCAGCACATCCTAACGAAAGATGAAGACGAAAAGTACCGAGAGGACGGCGATGAGAAAAGCGAAGATGGGGGCAGGTTCAAGTTAGACTAGACGCAGCCAAAATCCACGCCAAGGGGAAAGTCTAGACTTAGACAAAGACGATAAAAGACAGGACATATTCAAAACAACTACGAACAAACTAGATCCACAAGACACACACGCTGGCAGGCCGGCGGATTGTCAACTCGGGGTAGAATTAGTTGCCCCCAGTTTGAGCACTGCAACGAACCATGGCCCTCTGTTCAGCTGAAGCGGCATCACCACAGGTTGATGGGTGGCAGACCCGCTGCTGAGATTTCGCGGTCCAGGCTGTGAAACAACTCTCCTCGCCCGTGAAGACCAACAGTGTTGTGTCACAGGGTAGGAATATGTTAGTTCTCAGTCCTTTACGTACACAGCACACATAGATACACACTGCATGCATATACAGCATACTGTTATATGATGTTACATGTATATATGTATATGATATATATATATATATTTATATGCACGTACATTCGCGTGTCTTCCTTGTGTAATGTGTGTGTAGATGGTGATTTGAGTAAGAAGAGCCTATGATCAGCATCCATAAATGAACTTGCAAATGGTGTGGTGGCTTTCTTCTTTTACAGGCGAGCAGGTGCAGTTCGCACTTTCATTTTCACCTACTTGTGCAGCATCACGGCGTGAGACACCGATCAGGTCAGGGTCAGACTTCGCAAGAAAAATGCAGAAAAGCCAGGTGAATGGGAGTGTGTGGATGTTGGCTATTTGTGCCATGGGTCAAGGTTTGCGACATTGCGCGATTTTTAGAACCTAGAGAACAATTATTGCTGGTTTTCAGCATTTGACCTGAATAGTGGTGCCTGCAAAGTTGGACCTCCATGCAGAGCTGTGACGGAAGAATATCAGCCTGAGAAGGGTGGATTTGAAGGGTAGGTTTCTTTTTGAAACGCAGATCGGGTGTGCATCATGGTGGGTTTTGCTTCAGTGGAGCTGTACTTGAATGGAGAATTGTGTTCCGACCTGTGGTGAAAGTCTTCGGTGGAAGGGTCGGTGGCATCGGTGGGTATTGAAAGTGGTGACCACTCTTGTCCGAATGAGCATGGAATATTTGCGAAACTGTTCAGTGAAAGCTTGGGGCCAGACTTGAGATGGCCTTTTCTTAGTCGGGCTGGAGTCGGGCTTTGTATTTCTGCATATTTCTGTTGTTTGCCCGAACAATGTATAGTAATCCAGCCGTGCAGTCATTTGCCGAAGGCCCTTTCTCGAAAGTCTCGCTTTGAAGCGGCCTTGAAAGGGGAGGACACGCAGGTCAGGGCTGTGAAATTAGTGGTACAACCAATGCTGCATGCACATCGCATTCATATTCCGATTCTATCAACATTATATACCCAGCATATCACCATTTTAAATACCCAGTCACCAATATCCAGAGGGTACCCTGTACCCTGTCAATGTTGGGGTTTCGCATGGGTTAGCCCATTTTGCATCATTCCTTCGCCCTTTGAGGAGATTGAGGAGGCACTCGCAGACCTAGAGGGAGAGCCTTCTTATTTCGAAGTCGGCAGCTCAGTAGGCACCCAAAACTTCAAAGGATCAGTTGGAATGTCAAGTATTGAAGTAGCGAAGATTGTTGCATCTCAACCCTGTGCAGGGGTCCCTTCTTTGCGTATTTCCATGCAAAGGATGATGGAGCAGTGAGGGCAAATAATTGCACGCGCTACCAGTTAGCCCACTTAGCCAGTTGGCCTTCTTTTTCTTCTTCTTCTTCTTCTTCTTCACCTTGAGTACAGATGATCCTTACAACATTCCGAAACCCAGCCAAGGGTGTGGCTGAGGCTCACGAAGTGAGTGTTGAGGGGTACGGTGTGAGTGGGATGTAGGATGACGCTTGGGGTTGTCCGTCCAGCGCGGGGCGGGAAAGCGGGAACAGTTGGAGGGTCCGAAAATCCTGTTGTTTTTGGAGGTGTGGCTGAGGAGCTTGGCGGCGCGGAAAACACATATTTTAAAGTCAACGTTTGGGTAGTCTTCGGGGCCCAAAGTAGTAGAAGATGCTTCGTGGACGCGCATTTTTTCCATGGTTGCAAGGAAGCTTTTGACACGTGAACCGGGCGAACACGTCATAATTAGAGTCATAACTTGCAACATATTTTGAAAGCAGATGGCGCGGCACACTGTCAATAGAAGTGCCCTAAATGCCCAAAATAAGATTCTTGAGGGGCGCGCGTGCACGGACCGAACAAGAAAAGTCTCAACTTTTTGGAGGAAGAACATCCATTGAGTGAGTGACTCTTGCTTTTGCAAGCGCAAGCTGCAAGAAACAACGTAAATAGAGGCAACTTTTTCTGTCGATCTTTGGTTGGTCTTGGGGGTCAGAAGACATGCATGTTTTTATGTTCTGCACCGTTTGGGAAGGTTTTTGATGTGTTTGCAAGGTAGTTGCGAGAATTTTAAGCAGCGGCAATCATCCGAAATTGCGGTGTTTTCTTCATGCCAGGTTGCACACAACACCGTAAATTTCAGTGTTTCTTACAGTTGCAACACCAGCTTCAGCATGTGGTATTTACATGTATTTGGGGCAAAATTAGTGCCTCCAATTTTTGTCCGAACGTTCCGCACAGCATCGTATGATGGGTAAGATATTTTTTCATGCCCTTTTCCTGATGTTTCCTTCGTTTTCCCTTTCTGCAATGGATTGGTTTAAGGGAAAATCTATAGGAAACCATAGGCCATAGGCTTTCCCATGCAATTTCCGGGTTTTCCAGTAAATTTTCCCTTAAACCAATCCATTGATTTCTGAGAGGAACGAAGTCTTTGCTTCGACTGGTGTAGAGAGATGAGCTGATCGCCAGGACAAGGAAAAAGCTGATCTCCGCATCCAGGAACTTGAGGACAGATTTTTCCGGAAGCGATTCCTGGATTCTTTCGGATTCTTTGATTTGGCGTATTTGGTTGGGAGAATAGGCTTGGCTTGGACCCTCCCTACGCATTTTAGCGGTGAGTATGATGGAATCAGGTGACATTTTCCAACCACATGGCCAAGTAGAACGCTGTAAATACGGAAAATCGTATCCATATGTTGGAGGCCAGGAGGAGGACGACGAGGACGATGACGACGACTGATGGGGTTCGGAGCTATTGGATGTTGGGGGGTTGGGCTGATGCAGCGGAGCAGGAGTTCCTTGAGAGGAAGCTGGAGAGAGCGCTTCTTGGCGCAGCACTCTTACGAGCACTCTTAGATATGTATTTTCGAAATGTGTGTATGTGTGTATGTGTGCAGTGTATGTAAGGTATGTAATGTATGTGATGTATGTTATGTATTCGATGTATGGACTGCTACCTTTTGTTTCGTCCTAGCTGGTTCTGTTGCTCATTTTACAATTTTTACACATGTGCCCGTGTTTATATGTACTCAAACTTGCATGTCCCATTGAATTTAATGTATATAGTGTAATGCAACAGTAACGTCATGCGATGTGATGTGATGTAATGTAGCGAAAGTTTGCCTGCAAACTGCATGACAGTGTAGTAAAGGTTTAATTAGGGTGGAGGGTGGGTCCTGCCGGAGTGATGGCCCAAATGCCGAGCTCCCAGGGATCAAAAATTTGATCTCGGTTTGGGCCACCCGCTGTCGGCATGGCACTTCCTCCAGCTGCTACTGTGAGCGCGGTGACCGACGTGGCGGGCTTGATCGATTTGATGGGGATGCAGGACGGGGTCTGGAGAGGCTTTGTCGGTCAGGTGGGCGACCCTGGAACCAACATCGGCCACCTGGCTGCTTTACCAGCACAATTGATTTCAGCGGCCTGCTCCCATGCTACCATGCCTGATGGGAGCGCTTTTGTCCCCATTCATGCCTCTCAGGTGGGGCTAGTTTGGCGGGTGGCAAGGAAACACGTGTTCTTAGCCAATGGCGGTTTGGAGGCAGACTTCCAAGATATCGAACCGTGGGACTTCACTCGGAATCCTGGCCAAGCTGCAGCACCAGCAAGTCCACCCAAGGCATCATCAGTCAAGGAGAACGTTTTGAAGATGGCCAGCCTAGTGGATCAGACGGATGAATCTGAACTGTTGCCGGCTAGCATGGACAAGGTGCAGGAGTGGACGCAGAGGTACATCACGTTGATGAGAGCACCTCCAGAAGAGGAGGAGGAGGCGACAGATGCCCAGCTTGCAGTACTCCACAAACGGACTGTGGTGCTGGGACACCCTCCTTACGTGGATTTCTCAGTTTGGACGCCGTTTGGAAGACGTTCGCTTAGGTCCCAAAAGTTCAGGACTTATGTACCCCTTGGTGATGGCTCCTACATCATCAAGGAGCTGCCGGGCCCACAGAATTTGACTCAGTGGATGGCGTGCTGGAGGGTTTTCAAAGTGGCGGCATTGGCACTGGGCATAGTCAGCCTGGCAGCGTTGCAACAGTACGAGAAGGCCATTGAGAAGCTGACATTGCAATGGCCGTTGGCTTGGGGCTTGATAGTTTTGGCAGATGATAAAGGTCGTGCCGAACGTTTGGAGAAGATCAGGCGCAATGTCATGATCGACCAGCAGGCGGGCAGGGTGCTACCTTTGGATTGGGACGAACAAAATCCTTGGTCGGCCTGCTTCAAGATGCTGGCCAAGGACGAGCAATATTGGTCAGAACAAGTTAGGCATCCTGCAGCAGCATGGACGGCGGCAGGGAGTCATGGAGTACCTGTAGCGCCGGCTGAAGCCATAGCTGCAACTCATGTGGTTGGGGGCTCGGACGTGTTGCAGGCGCCCAAAGAAGAAAAGGATGAGAGGAGGCGTCAAGCAAACAGAGACAAGCGGTCAGCTCGTAAGAGGAGGCAATGGGAAGACCGAGAAGAGCTGTGCAAGTTGAAGAGCCAGAGATCGGACTCGGACAAGGGTCAGGGCAAAGGACAGAACCAAGGCAAGGGGAAGTCAAAAGACAAAACAGGAGCAGAAATATGCTTCTCATGGGCGCAGGCCAAAGGCACGTGCGCTGATGTACCCGTAGGAGGGGAGTGCCGGGGCAAAGTCCGTCGGGCACACAAGTGTCAACTCTGCCTGTCACCAGGCCATAACAACAGCAACTGCCCACAGAAGTGAGCTGCTGTGAGGCCAAAAGGTGCTGTCTTCTCACCCGGGTTTTTGCCTGGGGAATTCAAGGACACGGGTTGGGGGGGATCACAGTTGACATGTCTTCACAGTTGTCGGTTGCATTTCATTGGACTGGGTTTTGATTTTACTTGAAGTTTTTTATTTCATGTCATGAAGTTTCATTTCTTTGGCTCATGTTGATCGGCAGTGCACTGAATTTGAACCGACTTGAGGCTCAAGCCGCAGGGATGGAGGAAGACAACGTGGACTGGGACCCTGATGACGTCAGTGTCATCCAGGGCGAATGGCATCCTCAGGCGCTTGAGCTGCTGCGGTCGACGGGGGACTTTGCAAAGTATAAGGAGTCCCGGACCTTCAGGTTTGTGCACTTGTTCAGCGGGGCCAGGGACGTGCTGAAGCCGGCGTTGGAGAAGGCAGCAGCCAAGGAGGGGTTGCGCATCAAGGTGGAGTCCTACGACAGGGACGGGCCGCAGAAGCAGAACCTGGCAGATGATAGGCCGTACATGGACTTGCTGGAGACGGTCGACACCATTGATGGAATGCACGCCGGGTTTCCATGCGGAAGCTTCAGCATGGTGCGCAACAGGCCGGGGGGCCCACCGCCGGTAAGGAGCCGGGAGTTTCCCTATGGCCTCCCGACGAATGATGTCTTGCAGCAGAAGGAGGCAGACACCGGCACAGTTCTGGCAGTTCGGTCATCCATGTTGGCCTCCAAGGTGTTGGACAACCACCGCAAGAGGAAGGTGGGCGAGGTGGCAACATTAGAAAATCCACCGGGCTCAGAGGCCGGCCAAGACTGCCCTGCATGGCTTCTTCCAGAGATCGTGGACTTCCTGAAGGTTTACCAAGCACAAAATGCATTTTTCAACTCGTGCATTTACATGCAGGGCAAGCACCGATGGCTTAAGCCAGCACGCTGGTCGGGTCGACTGCAGGACCTTGAAGAGCTGGCTGGAAAGTGCGCCTGTCCATCATGGGTGGTCCACGAGATGCTGAGGGGCAAGGACAAGACATCAGCTGCGGCAGAGTACCCTGCAGCTCTGGCAGAGCGCTATGCCAACTTGGTCATCAAGGTCTTCAAGCAGAACCTGCAGTTGGAGTTCTGGAGGTATAAGCTGCAGACCAAGGAAGGCGAGGTGAACAAGCTGCAGAAGAACTGGGTGAAGAGCAGGGAGGCTAGAACGCCACCTCCCCCCAGCGCAGAAGGAATGGCATCATCATCGAAAAGAGCCTGGCAGGTCGGGGACATATCCAAGGACTTGATCCCCCGGCCAGATTTGATGTCCAAGAAGCAGCGCAAGGAGAGCATTCCGCACTACGCCTCCAAGTGGGGGATGCGGGCTTGGATGCAGCGCTGTCTGCAGCGCGGCTCTGGGTACGGAGTAGTGCAGCTTGGATGCGTGGTTTTAGCCACGCTGACACAGAGTATGAAAGAACAGAGGAATTCAAAAATGCATCAAGAAGAAAAACATCAAAATCAAAAAAACAAAGAAAAAGAAGAGCTGGAAAGCCAAAAAAAAAAAAGAAGAAGTGACATCCTTCAAAAAAAAGCTCGTAGTGAGCAACAGAAGGATGACCAGGGTTGGCTGGGCGCCGTGGCTGCGGCTGTGCTGCTGCTTGTGTCTGCTTTTGCCTGCCTCTGCTTACCAGGAAACCTGGGCTGATTTCGCTTCGATCTCAGCCCCATGGAATCCGTCACTGAACTTTGTGGACAGAAAGCACCGCCTGATCTCGAAATGACCTCGGGTCTTTGGAAAAGCATCAGTTTCTCTACCGGCCTTCCTGGTATGACAAAGACGCATATCAAAGGCCCCCCAGAACACCTCGACGTCACCAGTGGGCAAGCCATGTCGGCTACCTGTCGACGTCGGGTGCGCTGTCACTCCGCCGTGCCGCTGCTTGTTGCTCCGCGGCGCTGGGAGATGCTGCGCTTGCGTATAGATGGAGCACGTGAGATTTTGATTTCGAGGCTGCAGCAGTTTCTTGCAGGAATTGATGCCTGGCTTTTGCAGTCGCCTCTGTGGCTCATGTGTGTTGGGTTGAGTTTTTTTTGGGAGAGTTATGCCATTGGTTACTGCGGTTGTATGTTTGTCGGTACTATCCGGTCACCATTAAACCCCCCAAAAGACTTGTTCGACCTAAGCTGCGTAAAGTGGTGGTTCCCACTTGGTTTCAGCTACTCAAAAGAACAGGTCCATGGCGACAAGCATGCCAACGGTGCCTGTGTGACACTGTGGTCCAAAAAGCTAGGATGGTTGGTCCGCAGAGAATTTGTGGAATTAGAGGTGCTAGGGGTCTGGGCAATTGTTTCAGAGCGGCCCCTTTGAGAAGCATTGACTGTCAAGACAATGCTCGGGTCCGAAAGTGCGTCTTTTTGATCCAAAACAGATGGAATATTCAGGTGCCAAAAACACCTGAAGTTGCGTTTCAATGTGCTGCAACGTCCAGCCCTCAGATTGCCAACGCCATGGATTCGCAATGCGCACAACCAGCCGGTCCAAGGGGCCATTTTGGCAATAGGGTTGTGCATGCCGTCACAAGTTTTTTGGACAAATGGAACAGTCACTCTCAGTGCATGGCTGCCAAAATAAACAAGGAAACTGATGATGCTCACAGTGGAAAAGAAAATCATTTCGGATTGCCTCAGTGGGCTTGGAATCTCAGGGGCGGTATGCCTATGGGGTCCCGTGTCACGCGCAGAAAAAGACAAGAAAAGCAAGACAACAACAGCCTTGCCAGTGCCGTGGGAGAATTTTTGTCACAATGGCAGAAGCAACACCCGCCAGCACGGAAAACACAGAAAACCAGTTCTATGGCGTCTTCCCAGGATTGGTACAAGGGGTCGAGCGATGATTACGACTATGGTTATTGGAATTACGAGGCCCCCCAAACTCATTCTGATGAGAATTTGGTTCAAACCTTGTTGACTTTCTTGAATACTTGTCAACAACAAAAACCAAAGACGAAGAGGTGGTTGAACACTTGCAAAACACTCTCTGGGAATGGGAGCAAGCCAAACGTCCTGCCCAATGCGCGAACCTCAGAAACAACTTTGGGGTTGAGCAGTCGGGAAAAACCACGGTCAGACCACAGTCGCAACCTCAGATCGCGCGCGGTCCGCCTATCAGTGCTGTCAACCCTTGTGAATGGTCAATGGCCATCAAACTGGGGCAAAAGAATGCTTACATTCAACAAGTTGGTGACGGGAAACAGAGTGAGTACAACTTGGTGTGTGTTCGAAGCCTTGATGATTTATTGGAAATCCAAGACATGAGAAAAGCCATGGAATGTCTGTCTCCTTTATCTGTTTTGATTGATGGTAAAGTTTCATTGGCTGAAGGTCGGCATGTGAAGGTGTCAGTTAAACGTGGCCCAAATAGAATGAAACTTGAAGAAATGACTTTTGCTTGCCTTGGTTTGGCTTCTTTGGCTCCCAAACCTAGGGATCCCAAAACTATCAATCTTCAGAAATATCAGCCTGATCCCAAAGTCTCCATCCGGGTCTGCGCTCCTGCTCAGTATCGAGAGGCCTTTTTGCCACAAGGGGAATGGGACAAAGCGAAGTCCATTTTGACCGAAATGGCCAACTGGCAAGTGACGCCCGTGTCAACCCTTGTCGGCGGAACATGGCAATGGAAAAAAGTAGGCAAGTGCCATACTCTTGTCGGCCACCTTCGTGTGAGCCCTAAGGTGGCTGCTGCTCTTGAATCTCAAAGCGGAAAGCGGGCGATATTTGTCACAACTACTGGGGTTGGGCGCCGTCCTGAAAAGGTCAAATGGCTGCTCAAAGCGGCTTCCATGACTTGTGATAATTATCTCCGGGAAAGCATGAATGAGGCCATTGCTCGTGGCCAATCCTTGAAATTTCGGATGGGTGGAGGTTCGGATATTGGTATCCTGTATCTTCCCACTGATAGCATACCCAAAAAGAATATCCACGTTCATATTGACGGTGTCCCGAGAAGTTGGGACGCCACGCATGTCACGACTTTCATGGAAGAACAAGGGTGGGAACAAGTTGTGCCCATCACCTGGAGAAATTTCCGTCGCCAGGTCAAATGGATTTTGAAAGCTCAGCCTCCTGATGATCCTTATGATCAAACCAATTCCAATTGCACTTGGCATTATGTGGACGATGTTGACCAAAGTTTAGAAATCCATGTCACTAAGGCGGAGGGTCGGTTTCCTAAGCCTCAGCATGTGCAGCCTGCCACTCCTCCAAAGCGCAGGTTCGAAACACAGAAACGAACTCATGCGGATCATGAAGTTCTTGATACACAGATGGATGAACCTGAAAACAGTGAAGAAGATGAAGAGGCCGTTGAGGGTGATGGCAACGGCCAAGAGAAAGAACGCCCCAGAAGCCGAAGCCCAGCTAGGGTTAAGCCGAAAAAGTTGAACTTCAAAGAAACCACGGAAATGATCAAACCGGAATGGGATGAAGTTGCTGATCTTATTAACAACAAAGGTTTTGAAGAAGTTGATTTTGGGGGAAACGGAGATTGCGGATTCAGGGCCATTGGCTGCGCCTTGGATTACTACAAAGATCCTACCCAAGTCAGGACGCCAGAACAATGCCAACGTGCTGGCGCCAAACTCAGAAGTCAGGTGGTGACCCACTGCCGCAAACATGAAAAGAGCTTCCTTCCCTTTTTCGCCCCTGATCCTGAAACCGCTAACGAGGATCCTACTTTGCAATCACAATCCTCGTTTCAAGATTGGCTCGATGCTATGGGTCGACCTCGAACCTGGATTGATGGGGTCGCACTGAGGGCCCTGTCCATCAAAACGGGTCATGTGATTGTAATTTGGAAGAAGGAAAACAAGAAGGCGCCGTGGCGGCGTACCACGTTGGCTCCTACCTTTGACCAAGGATGGGCCAAAGCTGCTAAGGGAACCCAGCCAATTGCTGTCCTTTTGAAGGATGATCACTACACTTGGCTCAAACCTCCACAAAAAGAGACCGTGCCCAATGCATGGTTAAAAGAAACGGTTTTTCCTGCCAGACATGACCTTCAAGGCGCTGCCAAGTCTTCGTCAAGCATGGCCACTCCTTCGGTCCACACCATTTCGTTGCATGGTAAAAGTGCTAGGAGTTCTCGAAAACCCACGAATAGTTTTAGTGATATGCCAACACCTTCTGCTCACACCATTGTTGGCCAGAACATGTTCGACTCGCCTTGTAAAACCAAGGCTTCCAAGCAACGCTCCAAAGGTAAAAAAAGAGTCCTTTGAAGCGACTCAAACAGATGAGTCGAAGTCACACCACCAAGGACGACAGGGCACCTAGTACTCAGGTTGCGTCCGGGGACCCGGCCTCTATCACCAAGGTTCAGTGCCCGCATTGGAGTCAGGCCCATGCCTGGCTTCAGTCAATTTGCCAGGGCGTGCCGGACCAAGACTTGACTCCGGATTCACTCGGAACGCTCCAAGGTTGTTTGCTTGCTTGCAGTGCTGTCACTCGTGCGGTCCATGCCGCAATGGAAAAAGTGTCTGATCCTGATTTTGCCCCTACGGCATTGACAGTAGAAGAGGACGCCGAAAGACTGGAAACTCCAGACGAACCTTCTCCTCGGAAAATCGCACAAAAACGAACCAAACAGATCCCCAAGAATGCGGCGGAAGAACAAGCCTTGTTTGAGAGATATTCTTGGAAGTGTAACTTGTGTGATTTCGCATTTTCGGCCGCTTGCCTTGGTACGTGGGCCGCCAAGAAATCTAGGCACATTGAAAGATGTCACAAAAATGAAAAACATTTGATTGCTGATCGGAGAACTCAGTATCCTTTGGTTAAAGCCACCAGAGTCAAATGGGCTGCGCGGGGTTGGACATGCAGCAGGTGCGGGTTGGGGTTGCCATGGCTTCCGTCTAGTCAGTTGCAAAGAAGCAGAGATGCTCACCTTGCAAGCTGTGCTCCTGACCTCACCCCCGAACAAAATCGCATCATTTTGCGGAATGGCACCGCTGCTGTTGACATCAACTACGGGGTGGCAACGCGGAAAAAAACAGGTTGGCATTCTGTTGAGTGGCGTAAAGAAAGAATTCAAAAAGCCAAGTCTCAAGGTCATGAACTGTCTTGCTTCGTTCCTGATTCTGGTTTGTTAAAAAACCAATTTTTGAGATACACCTGCAGACATTGCAAACGAGTGCAGGGCGAAACCGATTGTTTTACTCGTAACAAGTGCATTAAGAGAAAATACCCCAAAACTCACATTTGGCGCAAAGTGCGGCTCACCCATGATCAGTTTGTGGGCCCTCTGGTCAAAATTTGGGGTTGGGGTCAGCAGCAGGTCAAAGATATGGATGCTCTCACCAACAGTGTGGGAGCTAACCCACGCCTCAAACAAAAACCGGTGCAGGCTAAACTTCCGAACCCTGGCAGCAAAGCTTGGTTCAAAAATCTGCCTACTGATACGGGTCAGCAGCAGAAACCAGTCACCAAGGCCAAAAATTGGCAACGGGATTTGTGTGCTGAGGGCGTTGAACCAAATCCAGGACCTCGAGCTCATCGCAGACGTTTGACAAAACTTAGGATTTGCAGCGTCAATATTGCAGGTAAGGAAAACTTGTGGAGCGCCCTGCCCCACCTGAAACCTAAGGAATTCGATGTAGTTTGTCTTCAGGAAGCCAACATGTCTGATGTCGAAATTAAGGTCTTGGCAGCTGCTGCTTGGAAATCAGGTTGGGTCACCTTCGCTTTGTCCAACAAGTGCTGCAGGGGAATGATAACTATGGTTGGTAAACACTTGAAAAGTCGCATTGCTCACCAACTGGATACCTCTGGGAGGCAGTTGTTAGGCGTTCAGGTCGGTCACATGTGGGTGGGCAACGTGTATTGTGCCCATCATCCTGAAAGAGAAGCTTTCATGACGGAAGCTTTCCAGCTGTGTCACTCATGGTCCCCGAATGTTTGGACTCTTGTGGGTGATTTCAATGACACCCCTGAGGAATCGCCTTTGGCCTTTGGCCTTACCTCTTCAGGTTACAGCTCTTGTTTGCCACCTCCTGGGGTTAGCAGTAGATGGGAAAGCCAACGGGTCATCGATTTTGCGATTTGCAACGGTACTATCTTGGACTCCACTTTGAAGATGTGCCCCGAACGTTACAGTGATCACAAAGCTTTTTACTTTGACGTCAAAGCTGAAGGTGCAGATGGGGCTCTTACTAAGGTTGTGATGGTTCCAGCAAACGTGTATTTGCCTCAAGATACCGACCGAGGTATCGATTGGACAGAACGCCTGGCGGATGCCTGGCAACAAAATAGACAAGTTTGGCAGGAAATTAAAGTGAAAGCTGAACAAGAAATCCGCGAAGCCGACAACATGTCAGAAGCGGTCAAACAGCATAAAAGTGATCGAATTTGGGACCACCTGAATTTGTTACTCGAAACGTTTCTTCAGAAACAGGCTCAGTGGGCTCAGGAACATGAGTTGCCTATGCGGCCCTACAGAAAAGCTAAACGGGCCAAGGGGTCCATCCCCACTTTTCGTCACGTCCCTTTGGTCATCCACCAACCCCACGCTCCGAATGACTCAAATCAGCTTCGCACTAGGATGCGGTTGTGGGGAAGGCTCAGTGAGGCCGAGAGAAGACAGCATCATGACAACGCTGTTGAGAATTCTAAGGATCTTCAAAAGCTTTGGAAGCGCATCCGCAGATGCCCTCTGTACCAAGCAGGAATGACTGCCAAGGATGCCGAAACTGAGGTTCAGCGTCAAACCGATGCGAGCCGGCAGCGCAGACTTAGCAATTGGAAGGTTCGCTTGCAGCAAGAGAACGCTCAGGTCTTTCGATGGGTGCGGTCCTCCGAATCGGCACCCACTGTTACCTTGTATGACGACGAAGTCGATCCTGATGACCCAGCTAGCATGGACAGCTCTGGTGCCTTGGTCAAAATCGAATCCTTTTGGCAGAGAGTTTGGAACCGTGACAATAGCGATGCTTGGACTCCGCAGCAATATCTTCGTGAATATGGCGGGGCCCCTGAAGTCGAAGAAAATTGGAGCCCTGTTTCTGCGCAGGCTCTTAGTGCCTCGGCTGCTAGACAAAGACACCGAGCCGGGGGCCCTGACGGCTGGACTGGCAGCGAAATGGCAGCTTGGCCTTACAACATGTGGGCTGACCTGGAATTTGTGGTGTTTCAAGCCTGGGAGCAGCTGGGATGTTTCCCAAAGTGCTGGCACTTCATGACACAGGTGATGCTTCCCAAAGGAAACGGTCAAAGGCTCTCTGACAGCGCCACCCCGACCAGCAAACTTCGACCAATAAGCCTCATGTCTTGTTGGTGGAGAATTTATGTGAGTGCCCGCTTAGATGGGGACATCGAAAGACGTTGGTTGGAATCGCATTTGTTGACTACCCAGGCTGGAGGTAGGCGCAATCGAGACAGTCAAGGTAGCTTTTGTGAACTTGCTGAGGGATTTGCCAAAGGAGCCTATGTGGGATCATTAGATCTCTCCAAGTGCTTCGACCATGTGCGCCCGAGCTTGGCTTGTGATACTTTAGTTTGGAAAGGTTTTCCCCGAAAATTGGCGGCTGCTATTCAGAAAATTTGGGAAGGTCAATTGCGTATCCTTTCGTGGAACAAAGAAGTGTGCCCCCGAATCCAAGGAGTGCGTAGTAGCATCCCGCAAGGCGATAGTCTTTCGCCGAGAGTTCTCAATTTGATCATGAGTATGCCCATGCGTCATATTGTGCAACAAGAGCCTGACACTTGTCACGTTGTTTTTGTCGATGATAGATCTTGGTGTTCTCCCACCTTGCCTTCCTTTCTGAATGTTCTCCATCTTTGGCATGAACACTCGGCAAAGCTGGGATTCAAAGAAAACAAGCTTAAAAGTCAGTTCACTCACAGGCAGCCTACCAAGCGTCAAGATATGATGCAGTTAGAAGAGCTGTGCAATGGAGTGACTGAAAACCTTTTTGCCTTAGGCGCTGCTATGGGTTTTGGGTCCATGCTGCCTAAGGAACAAGGCCGCATCGAAAAGGCAATGGCTTGTGCTGCTAAGGTTCGTTTGGCTCCTATCTCAGCAGCTCGAAGATCGTTTGTTGGCGCACTTGCCGCAGGTAGCAAAGCAACTTACGGGTGGTTGGTCCGTGCTCCCCCTGGAACCGGGCTCATGTCTAAGTTGGAAACTCGTCTCCGAAGGGTGGGCTACTGCCATCGCATGTCCTCTCCTGCGCTCATTAGGTTGGTGATGGGTCACCCAGTGGACATTCAGTTTCAATCTGGTGCGGCGCTCATCGGTGCGGTTCATCGCACTGTTCGTCGGATCCGAAGAATCTTCAGTGATTGGGACCTCTCTGGAGGTCCGGCTCAGAGAGCCAAGAAATGGCTTCAGTCTCTTGGATGGTCATCTGTGGTGCCTTGGGTTTGGAAACACCCTGCATTCCATTTCAAGCTTAGTCTGAATCCTAGCTCAGAAGACTGGTCTGATGATTCTGAGTGGATCGCTCATCTCCTTCGCGAGGCATGGAGGTGGCATTGGTGGCAAAAGTACATGGCATCCCAACGTCATGAACTGGTTGAATTTGGGGATAGGGAGTACCCAAAGTTGCTTCTTGAAAACACTCGGAAAATGACTTCGGGTGCCAATAAGAATGTTATTGCTGTTTTGACGGGTGCATTTGTGTCTCCGCAGATGCGGACAAAGCAGGCTGACGATGTTCAGGAAAAGTGTCCGTGGTGTGACGGCTGTGGTCATTTTCATCATGTGGCATGGGAGTGTCAAAATTCTCCTCAGGTGCGAAGTCGCCCGGTTATTCCTCAGGATCCATTAGTGCGAAGATTTGGTTGGGGTGATAATCGGGTGGTGCAACATTTGGCCGCTTGCCGTGACCTGCTCCTGAGGTGCAGGTACGGTGGCAACTAAGGTGGTAGTGCTTTGCGGGTGGTGGGCCCTCTGCTGCGTGGTGCAGCGGAATGGTGTGGCTTTGCTGCGCCGAGTGGCCGCTGCCGTTGTCTATGCTGCTGCTGCAGCAGCGCAAGGAGAAGGAGAACGAGTTCTACCTTGGGGGCATGCGCAACCCAGATGTATCAGTCTCCAAGCTGCACATGGTGGCCAGCGTGGGCATGGACATCAGCAGAGCGTGGAACAGGTTCATCAAGGACAACCCGAAGGCCCTGGACATTGCAGCGACTTATGGGGGGCCTGACTGCAAACCCGACCTGGAGACGGCCAACAACTGGAGGGCTGCTTTGGAAAAGATGCTGAAGGCCAAGGAGTTCGAGGACGTCATCATCAGGGAGGACTATGAGTTCCGAACCCCGCTCAACACCAAGTTGCTGGCGGCCTGGCAAAGGGCGACCCGAGACCCGGAGGTGTATGTGGTCGATTGGGCGCGTCGTGGGGTGCCCTTGGGCATGAACAAGCGCATCGACACTTGTGGCATCTTTCCGGCAGCCCGGGACGAGTACATGGAGCATGGTGATGCACCGCCCCTCGAGCTGATGGAAAACACCCGTAACTACACCAGCTTCTACGACCTGATGGATGCGGCCAAGGAGGAAATCGGCCGATATGTGGACAAGGGTTTTGCCATCGTCAGGGACATGGATTGGATCGCTGACAGATTCAGCTCAGGCACGGTTTCCAGAATGGGGCTCATCCAGAAGATCAAGGACGATGGGAGAGTGAAGAACAGGGTGGTGGTTGACATGCTCCGCTCTGGCGGAAACTCAAGGAGCTCAGTGCCTGAGAGGTTGATCCTTCCTCGCGTCCAGGACGTTTTGCAGGGCGCAAGGAGGCTGTATTCATTCCAGGACGACCTGAAGGCATTGGCAGAACGAGAAGGATGGATGCCAGAGAAGGAGGCTGACCTTCACAAGTGGGAATTGGTGGGAGCAGATCTGGCGGACGCCTTCTAGAGACGAACTGTCAAACTGCATCTGCCCCGGGCTGGAGCCAGGCCAATTCATCCTGTACACGGCGCTGCTCTTCGGCTTCAAGGCAGTCCCACTTCTCATGGCCAGGTTGGCGGCGATGTTCACGCGCTTCCTGCAGAGCCTCTTGGCAAAGGGCGAGGGCGTCATTCAGACCTACATGGATGACCCGCTGATCTTGTTGGCGGGCACGGACGCCAGGAGAAACCGCACCCTGGCCTTGCTGCTCTACAGCATGTGGGCGCTGGGCATCAACATCGCCTATCACAAGGGCGAACGAGGCCTTCGAGTGACATGGATTGGGGTCGTCTTCGAGCTGGACTTGGAGCGGGAGGTGCTCAAGCTGACGGTGTCCCGCAAAATGGCGAACGAGCTTCATGAGAAGCTGAAATCCTGGGAAACAGGCATGATCAGCCTGAGAGACCTCAGGGCGACGACCGGAAGACTCAGCTGGTTGGCCGGGATCCTTCCAAGATGCAGATGGGCCGTTTCCATTCTCTACGCCGTGGTGGCAGCAGCCGAGAAAGACGCAAGAGACGGAACGGAGGAAGCGAGGGCGGCCAACAGGCCATCGGATCAGAGGCCAAAGCCCTTCCTGGTCCCCGCCGCCCGGGTCAAGTTGCCACGCCAATGGCTCGTGACGTTCCTGGAGCGGGCCGAGCAGTTTATGCTGCGTACAGAGGCGTTCTACCCCATGCACCCGGACTTGGCCATCATCACGGACGCTTCTCCCCAAGGTGTAGGAGCAATCCTCTGCTACGTCAACTTGGGCCGTGGGGAACTTATCCCATGGGCAGCAATGGAAGCCCCAGTGCGCAAGGAAGACACAGACTGGCTGGGGCTGGAGTTTGGTGAGGCCTCATCACAAGGGGCCCTCGAAGCATGGGCAGTGCTGCTGGCGGTGCGTATGTGGAAAACCCGCCTGCGGCAAGTGCCACTGCTCATCAAGTCCGACTCGACGGTGGCGCTGGCAATCGCACAGAAGCTGTCCAGCCCCTCCCCCACAGTCAATTGGGTAGGGGCGGAACTGGCGTTGCGCCTCGAGTGGCTGGACGTGCCCAAGCTCATCGTGCACCACCTGCCGGGGCGCTTCAATGTAGAGGCGGACTGGCTCTCGCGACCCCACGAGCGCCCAGCCGAAGTGCCGTGGGCGTTGCGGGGAGTCAAGATTCAGAAATTCGAAGGGGAGGCCAGGCGACGTTCTCAAGTGCCGCCCCCCGGTGTTGCCCCCCAGATGTGGGGTGCCAAATCTGAGACCATCTTGCAAGCTTTCGAGAGCTTGTGACAGACCTGCAGCTGGCAAAATGGAGCATGGCTTCACAGCTGCGGATGTTGTCTGGTCACCAGTGCTAGCTGCTGAAATGGATGGTCAAGATTTTTGTATAAGGTGTAGGCATCAAGCTTGCATGGCCGCAGCCATTTGGGAAATCCAGCAGCATGGAGTTGGTAGCTACGGAGTCGCTACCTGCCACGGCCGACAACGACTGGCCATGGGCGCTCCTTTTCGTGCTGGTGGGTTGGATGGGCCTTCTAATGGCCCTATGCAAGGGCTGCTGCAAGCTCTGCCTGACATTACAGGCCACGCGCAGAGCAATGGAGGGAGGCCGGGCGTGGAAAGATCAGACATGCCCTTGCTGCAGTACATGTGTGGGGAAGCCTTCTCGTTCCACCCAAACCTCACCGGTGGCAGCAAGAGGCCGAGAGGAGGACCCTTGGCCAAAGCAAAGGTCAACAACACCAGAAAGGCGCTGCACATACCCAACTCACAAAGGCAGCCCAGACCTCGTCAAGGCCATGGCATGCAGGGCAAGGCCGATCATGTTGGATATGGGGAGAGAGGCCTCAAGGCCACATGCGGCGCACCCAAGTTGTCCAGCTGGACGATGACAGGGGCAGTTAACGTGGACCCCATGAAGTGGGAAGGGGTCAAGGAATCGAATAACAGGCCCAGAGAGCAGGAGACGGAAGGGAGCGGTGAGGGTCATGGACGAGCTGAAGGTGCTCCCAGGGCAGATGGTAGAAGAAAAGGCTCTATGGAAAAGGCCTTCGAAATAGCAAGCAACAGTTCGGACTTCAGGAAGGCTGTGGAGGGCCTCACAAAGAACTTTTGGGCCAAAAGTACCACCGCGGTCAAGAGGTCGCGGAGACAGGAGGTGCTCAAGTTGGCCGAGATGGTTATGGGGCGGCTCCCAGTCTTCCCCCTAACAAAAGGGGGGGTAGAAGGCGTAGCAGCGGCATTAAAGGCAGCTGAACTGGCTTCTGGGGACCAGTATCTCAACGAGCTGAAGCTGATGCACGTGGAGGCAGGTCACCCCATCGAGGCCTGGCTGATGAGGGTGCTGGCGCTGTGCAAGAAATCGCTCACAAGGAACAGAGGCCCTGTGAAAAGAGCCCCGGAGGTGACGCTGGAATCTATACCATGGACGGCCTGGAGTTTAAGGGGAGGCCATAAAGTGCCGTTGGCCACGTTGGCCTTTGCCTGGGGCGTGGCTTGGATGCTCCGGGTGATCGAGCTCTCACGAGTCAAATGGGAGCATGTCTCATGGGACATGGTCAAAAGGACCGTGAGGCTGTATATCCCGCAGTCCAAGGCGGACCAACAGGGCCTCGGAGTGGCTAGGACGCTACAGTGCTGCGGTGAATCGCCCTGCTGGAGGGGGTGTGCATGGTCCCTTCTGGTCAAGCTGAGACAACTTCGAGGCCGACTTGCTGCAGGCGATGGTAACGGCGGGATGTTCCTGAACAACAAAGGCTCAACGCCGACAAAGAAGGAAATGGTGGACAGCTGGAAGGAGCTGTTCAAGGTAGATGTTGCCGGCCACTCGGCCAGACGCACGGGAGCTATGGCGTACGTGCGGCGGGGCATGTCCATCAGAGACCTGGCCTACTTGGGCAGGTGGAAGTCGTCGGTCGTGTTAGTGTACGCGGAGGAGGCGCTGGAATCCACACCGGCAAACAGAAGCCTCAAGGCCCCGGAAACACAACGACCGATGGTGCAGAAGGAGACGCAAGAAGCTGGAGACAGAACCCCGGCTAGGCAGCGTGCGCAAGTTGAAGAAGCTCCTTGCCCGCTGGTCAGACCCAAAGCAAACTCGCTATGGGTGAGGTCCACAGAAAGGGGTGGCAACGGCCCATTGCATCTGGTGGAGAACGCCGATTGGAGCATCCCCATGTTCCAGTGGACCTCGGCATGCGGATGGGCATTTGCAAAAGCCTCAGCACACGTGGCCTTTGTCACGAACCCTGGGTTTTCGTCCACAAGATGCAGGAAGTGTTCGACCATGGCAAAGCTGCGCGACGAGGTCAAGGAGGGTGTCAGGCCTGCGCAGCTGATGGCAGCTGATATGCTGCAACTGAGCAAGGCTGATGGCACCAGGACCCCAAACTGGAAGCGCAGCAGGTCAAGCATGCTGCAGACTCCGCCCAGACAAAAGAGCTGAAAGCTTAGGGTGGAGGGTGGGCATAGAAAAACCCACAACGGAACTGTCGCGAAAGTTTGCCTGCAAACTGCATGACAGTGTAGTAAAGGTTTAATTAGGGTGGAGGGTGGGTCCTGCCGGAGTGATGGCCCAAATGCCGAGCTCCCAGGGATCAAAAATTTCCCACCCACCCACACCTTGGATATTAATTCGAGGTGGAGGGTGTCAGGCCTGCGCAGCTGATGGCAGCTGATATGCTGCAACTGAGCAAGGCTGATGGCACCAGGACCCCAAACTGGAAGCGCAGCAGGTCAAGCATGCTGCAGACTCCGCCCAGACAAAAGAGCTGAAAGCTTAGGGTGGAGGGTGGGCATAGAAAAACCCACAACGGAACTGTCCTGCATGTTAATGTAATGCAAGGTAATGATATGTAATGTGGTGTGATGTGATGTAACGTAAGGTAATGTAATGTAACTTAATACAGTGCAATGTATGTGCGCGCAGCAAAGCATAGTGATGCTGCCACTCTCCTGCTATGCGGATTGCAATTCGAGGTGACGAAACGCATTGGCACGGCACCACGTAAGACAGTGTTAGTGCTGCGACGCTCCTGCCATGCTGGGCTGCAGCTGGAGGTTCCTGATTGCATTGGACTCGTTGACGATTGCTCAATGCAAGAGCGTGTTGAAGAGTCACATGGGTTACCGCAGGATATCGCAGGCACATGAAGGTTATTGGCCCATCCCATCCCAAACCACACCAAAAGCACATCGTTTTCAAAATGTGCGCAATTACACGCGCGGTTTCCACCCTGCTAGAAAAACCTATTGCAATTGCTTCTGGATCATGCGTGCGCACGCAAAATCGCCTTGGCACCGTTGGTGCGGGCGGATTTTTAGATGCAACTTGGCGTCGTCGCCAATTTGCATTGGAACCCAATGTCGATGCATCCAAGGACCCAGGGCGAGTTGGTCAAGGGAGCCAACCTCATCAGCCAATGGAGGAAACATGAAGAAAGGCAAGGGAACACAAACCTTTGATTGTTTTGAAGATTCCATATTTCCGTCCTGACTGAGATGAGCAACCCATCTTGGGTCATCATGTTGGAACAATTCTGGCACAATGATTCTCGCAGGAGGTCGCTTGAACGGGTCATGCAATCGCGAGCAAACCGACAAGTGATGACACTAGACTAGAATGTCAGAATGACACTTTTTTTTGGG